TTTTTATTTTTATTTTTGAAATATAAAAGGTTTACGTGGACCATGCACGTCCAAAAAGACAAGTTAAAATTTCGATATACTTTATAAATTTAAACCGTTGATATTCCTTATATTTAGTATCTAATTAATATTAATATTGAATAAATAGTAGTGATATAGTAATCAACATTATTGATAATATTAGTATATTAATCAACAAATTGAAATGGTAAACTAGAATTTAAACATCTGATATACCACTAAAAATTAAACATTTGATATACCTTATATTTAGTATATTAGTTGCAAATATATTTAGTATATCAGTTGGAAATATATTTAGTATATCATACACTAGAAATACATCAGATATATATATTATATGTATAATACGTACATTTGATGTATATCAGTGATATATCTGATAATGTATATTATGGGTACAACTAATACCGTATATTAGGGGTACATCGAATGTATATCGGAAGTATATCAGAGTTACCTCGGATGTACATTCGATATAGATTGGATGTATATCATATACAAATTTACTACATCGGATGTATATCAGATATAGATTTGATGTATGATATACATCATATGTATATCAGATATAAATTGGATGTATATCAGATATAGATATACATCAGACATATATTAGATATCATAAGGGTGAAATTGGAATAATAAAAATTCCGAGAATAAAAATTCAAATATTTTGCTATATTTGAAATTTTGAAAAGTTGATGACATTTTTTGAAATACATCAAATATTTTTGCTACCCATTACAATTACTCTATATTTTAACTCAAAACCCATCTCTTAAGTTTAAATCTAAAATTAATTTTAAAAAATCAACAACATGAATGAAAATTAAAAAAGACAACAAATGCATCCTAAAAAAAGATGACAACTTTTTAAATAAATTGTGACCAAACCAGCATAATTTTCAAAAACAATAAAATAAAAAGTAATATAGTTATCAATCACATCCACCAATGGTGCATTACTTTAATTTTATTTACTATCACAAAATAATATTTTTATTTATATGTATAATATTTTAAGGTTGAATTACAAATTTTATTTTATAATTTGAACTTGTTTTCAATGAATTTCATCCATAGTAAACTATGCTCAAATATACTTTGTTTTTTTAGTACATGTTAGATTGATTTTCAAACTTATTTTGACTAGAGTAATGCTCAAGTGTTGATAATGGGTTACACAGGAAAGAAAATAGTAAATTGTGACTAATAAACAGCACAGTGTAAATATAAAAACTATTAGATAAAGGAAGTTTACAAAACATTCAAATCTCTCAACTCCCAAATTGCAGGTGAAAACATGGGAAAAGAAGGAAAAAAAAAAGATTCCAACAGTCCATATAAAAAAAAACACATCCTCTTGATGATACCAACTCTTACTAATTTGTAAGTTCCATTATAGCAGACACAATATCGCCATCAGCTGCTTTGAGGGCTTTCACGGCCCTCGGTCTCGATACCCCAGCTTGAGTCATCACCAGTTCGATATCCTTGGGCTCAACCCCGGTCTCGTCAACTTCTTCGTCATCTTGAGCCACGGCTGATGGTTCGGGCTTCGATGTCAAGTTGCTCAAATTAGGTGCCTTGAACTGCTCTGCAGCCTGCGACTGTAGTTGGGAGCTCAAATCTTCAATCTTTGCTTCCCCGAAAATAATGTAGGTGTCTGAAGTAGGACTCTTGAAAACATCTGGTTTCGAGATAACAAAGAGGATCTGCAGAGAAAAATCCCATCGTTATCAGATGCATATGGGATGAATCAATCTAGAAAATCAGATCTGGGAGGTTGAGGAAACCAACATTCTTGCTCTTCTTGACTGTGACACGGCTCACACCGGGGATTGGCTTCATTCCGAGCTTAAGCATTGCTTTGCGACTCTTTTTTTCGCTTCTGCTTTGCTTCGACCTGCCACTGGCCTCTCCATGCCCTGCCACCAAAAACTCCAGACTCACAACATTTTCCAATCAAATACAGCATGCGCAAGAAAGAAAGTTTAAGACATCATTAGATACTAAATGGACATCAATTCATCTGTTTTCCCTTAATAAAATTGATTATTCTTGTTTTTGTCAAGTGTCAACACATCCCAATCACATTTAATGACAAGGTATGATTACATATCTTCTCCTGCATATGGAGAATGAATAAGCAAATAGTATGAGAAATCAATGCCAGAAGAAGTTTAGTCATTCATCGAATGAAATTTGATGGAAGAAGTTAGTATATCAACCATTCAAATTATTCGAAGGTTCCCAAATATTGTAGCAAATTAAACCAAATGATTCAAGGACTCTAGCAAAAGGGAAATTCTCCGGATCAAGTTTTCAGAGGATTCTTCAGTAACTGCAAACTATAACTTATTGGACACTGAATGAAGGCAGCAAGATAAGAAGATAAAATTTTATTTGACAGAATATGGAAAAGACTTAACAACTAGACTCAATGTAAAGGAAAATTTAGAAAATTGGTGTTAATATAGAGATCTTTGAAATATGCACTTGCCTTCAACATCATCTTCATCTTTGTCATCATCTTCATCCTCGTCATCGTCGTCGTCGTCATCCTCAACTACGGGTTCATCAGACTGCAAGATCATTCACAATAGAGTTGGTATTGAGCAAACTTCATCATTTTTTTTATCTTGGATTCTTAGAAAATGAACATTGAATGCCTGCATCTAAATACTGCACAATCTACAACGTAAAACCCTGAACCTCTTCTTCTGTTTCTCAATTGATGATACTATTTTTCATCATAAATCCAAGCAAATAGACGAATTGTGTCACCGAAATCAAATCTCCTCCAAGAGAATTACTTCAAGTATTGGAAATTATGAAATATAAAAAATAAAAGTACTTCACAATCGATGAGAAGAATTGCCCAAGTCACAGACTGAGTTCAAAATCTCGAAAGAGAAAAAACCCATCATTGCATCGCATATAATTTAAAACTAAAATAAAACCACTCCAAACTAAAACTTCAGAAAAGGAAAAAGAAAAAACAATCTCAAATGAATTCCTCCTTAAAAATCAACAGCGAAGAAGAAAAAGAGCAGAGTTCGGTTCTAGCCAATCAAAGACATGACAGAGAGAGAGAGTACATTAATCTTTTGCTCCTCGAGCTGAGCGGCGAGAAGCTCTTCCTGAGTTTGAGCAGTCATGGCGTTGAGGATAAGTAAAAGATCAGCGAGACGAAGAGCAAAAGAACACAGAAACTTTCAGACGACAGAAGAAACCCTAAAAATCCAATTGGCTGCGGCTATTTATAGGAGCACACTCGGGTTCGGGTTCGGGTTCGGGTATTGAGTAACAAATTAGATTAAAATTAGTATTATTATTATTTATTATTTTAGTCAATTAAAATTAGTATTATTTTACATATCAATAGGTAAATAATTGATTAAATGTCAAAACCAACCTACTTCAACCGTAATTGACATAGCTACTATTTTGGTCCCTATACTTTTAAATGTTCATTTTGATTGCTTTCAATTTTTGTTTATTGTTTTAGTCTTTGTACTTTTAAAATATTGATTTTCGTTGTTATATTTTTAAAAAGTGACATTTTTTTTATCATTATTTACAAAATTTAACACAAATTCTATACACGAGATAAATTATTTAATATAAAAATATGATTACATTTCAGAAAATCTATCACGGTCGTGCTCTGATGACTATTATAAAATAAATTAAAAAAAAAGTTTGCATAAGAGTCGATAAATAGACATTGGTTTCCTTCGCGAGGGAAAAAAAATTGGTTTATTGCAATATTCAACTTCAATAATGATGTAAAATCGAAGAGAATTAGATAAAAATCGTTCCACCAAAAGAGGACCTCTAATTGTCAATACCTAAAACCCCTAAATTCAAATTGATACAATTTCAATAAAGATTAGATGATGGATTACTTCGTTGATCAACTCAAGAAGTTGGAATTGTTCAAATAAGATGACCCACTGAAACTATTAATGAACACAATTATTTAGTTTAAGAAAATTTTTATGATAATATAGAATCGGAAAATTTTCTTTATTATTATCATTTAATGTACATTACAAAAATTTATGGTTATATAGCAAGAAGTAATAATTACACAAAAAACACTATTTTAGTTTCATATCAAACATAAAAGACAGCCTACAAGTTGATCCACTAAAATAAGACATTTTTTTATTAAGTTTGTTTATTACGTTACGAATCAATAAACGATTCCTTTTTTAAAAATAACATATTATATATATATATATATATATATATATAATTTTTTTATTCCTAATATAATAATTTTAAATTTTAGATATCTACCTTATGAGTATAATATAATTTAAAGAATAAATGAATAGTAAATAGTAATGAATCATAGATGTCTTTCACATCCAACTATAGCAATGAATAATCTATTATAATTTTTTAATGGTAATTCCAAAAAAACGCACTTCTATATTAAAAAAAACGAATTCGTAAAAATGTTTGGAAAAGCAAAGGGCATCTAAAAAGTATAGAAAACTAATTCACTATTCAAGGTTGAACATTGAACAATAAGCCTCATCAAACCTAACTTGAATTTTATGAGTTTGCAGCTTAAATCAATAATTATACAATGATGAACTCTAAGTCAGCACGCTAAATACCAAAATTCATTTTGAAAAGAAAAACTGATCGATCGTTTTGTTCATAAGATCCCTAATCCCAAAAGAAAACTAAAAGACTATACTATCTCCAATTAAAGTGACATAATTCGTTTAAAATAAATATCTTGAAATAATAATTTAATGCCACAACCTTGGACGAATAATTGACCATGGAGGCAAGGTTAAAACATCTTGGTTCATATCAAACAGCAATATTCCGCATAATCTCCAACTATTTTAAACTTTTGTTACACTTTTAAAATTCAAATATATATTTTATCTTTACTTGGATCCATTGAAATTTAGTATTTATTTTTAAAAATTTGTTGAATCTCTAATTATTTTAAAATTTTGCTCCACATTTAAATTCAAACTAATTTTCTCTTTTCATACCTGAACTCATTAAAATCTAACTCTTTTAAACTTGGTGTATATAAAATGGACGAAAGTTATAATTTAATTGTTACTTTATCCCTCTTTTAAAAAATGCATAAAATTCCCACTCTCGAAATATATATATACTAAATCTCTGATATTCTTAAAAAACATTACTTGTATAAAAAGTTGTAGATAAATAAAATTAAGTTTTTGCTTTCATTTACGTCATTGATCTTTCTTTTTCTATTTTCTTTTTTTAATTAATTTTTGATTTAAACTTAAGGGATGAGTTTTGAGTTACAATACACCATTAACAAGTAAAATATAAATTTTGTTCAGACTTTTAATTTTAGTTCATATGATTGTCAAATTTATGTTTTGGATCTTCAATTTTTTTGTTCTTATTCATATTTAAGAAATATTATTATGAGTTATCATTTCTAGTTTATAGAACTAATTTTGATAAGTGTGATATAAAAGTCAGTTTAGAAAAGCATAAGAATTAAAATTTATTATTAAAATTATAATATTCATGACCAAAATGCTCGTTTTTTAAAAAATAAAAACAAAAACAAACATTTTAAAAATACACGAGCTAAAACGAAATGAAATTGAAAGTATATAAACAAAAATGAACATTTTAAAAATAGAGGAACTAAAATAAACAAAACGTGAAAGTAGAAAACCAAAATTTTACAAGTTTGAAATTCATCTCTATACTTTGAGCTTAGGTTTTTTTTGGTGTCTTTAACTTTAAAAGTTTCAATTTGGTTCATATAATTTTGTTAAACTTCGCAAAGGGTCACTTCTTGTATTTTAGCCCTCCAAGAGTTTTCATTTGTTAATTTTGCTCTTATAATTAAATTGACTCCGTTTAAATTTGAATTTTTGATATTTGATTTTATTGATAAAAGGATTGAAATATTATTTTGATTTTGTATTCTTACGTCTCTATTTTAAAATGTTTATATTGATTCAAATAAAAGTTGAAAGCAATCCAAATTAACATTTAAAAAATATAGTGATTTTAGTAGATAAATAATTAAGCAATTATTTAATGTTAAAATAATACTAATTTTAATTGACTAAAAAATAATAATATAACTAATACTAATTTTAATCTAATTATTACTCAATACCCAAAATTCTTACCTGGACCCGAACCCGAATGAGCTCATATAAATAGCCGCAGCCAATTGAAATTTTAGGGTTTCTTCTGTCGTCTGAAACTTTCTGTGTTCGTTTGCTCTTCGTCTCGCTGATCTTTTACTTATCCTTAACGCCATGACTGCTCAAACTCAGGAAGAGCTTCTCGCCGCTCAGCTCGAGGAGCAAAAGATTAATGTACTCTCTCTCTCTCTCTGGCATGTCTTTGATTGGCTAGAACCGAACTCTGCTCTTTTTTCTTCTTCGCTGTTGATTTTTAAGGAGGAATTCATTTGAGATTGTTTTTTCTTTTTCCTTTCCTGAAGTGTTAGTTTGTAGTGGTTTTATTTTAGTTTTACATTAGCTGCGATTCAATGATGGGTCTTTTCTAGATTTTGAACTCAGTGTGTGACTTGGGCAATTCTTTTTATCGATTGTGAAGTTCTTTTTTTTTTTTTTTTWCATTTCCTAATTTCCAATACTTGCAGTAATTGCCTTGGAGGGATTTGATTTTGGTGATGGAGTTAGTCTATTTGCTTGGATTTATGAAGAAAAAATAGGTTTATCAGTTAAGAAACAAAATGAGTGGTCGAGGATTTAACATTATTGCTTTGGAGGATTCTGCAACATTCGGATGTAGTACAAGTTTTCACTGCAATGAAAATAATGCAGTTCTCTCACTTTCTTGCTTCTGTTATACCTAACCCATAAAAATATTTTTTTCCTAAATTTTGTACTGATATTTTTTAAACAATCTTGCAGCTTGATAGGTAGTAGTTGACATTTTAACAAGCTGAATCCATCTTGGTTTTGTTTTTTTGTAGCTTAAGTAGTTGTGTGAATCCACTTCGAATGTATTTGGTTGTAATGTCCACATTTTAGATTCATATGATTGTGTTTATGATGGAAAATACTAAAATAGTATCATCAATTGAGAAACAGAAGAAGCGGTTCGGGGCATTACATTGTAGATTGTGCAATATTTAGATATCGACGTACAATGTTCATTTTCTAAGAATCTAAGATACAAAATGATGAAGCTTGCTCACATTTCTTTTCCTTTTGTACCTATATTTTCAATAAAATTTACCAACTTTATTGTGAACGATCTTGCAGTCTGATGAACCCGTAATTGAGGATGAGGATGATGACGACGACGAGGATGAAGATGATGACAAAGATGATGATGATGTTGAAGGCAAGTGCATATTTGAAAGATCTCTATATTAACTCCAATTTTCCAATTTTTTCCTTTACATTGAGTCTAGTTGTTAAGACTTCTCCATATTCTGTCAAATAACATTTTATCTTCTTATCTTGCTGCCTTCATTCAGTGTCCAATAAATTATAGTTTGCAGTTACTGAAGAATTCTCTGAAAACTTGATCTGGAGAATTTCTCTTTTTTTTGCTAGAGTTGGTGGTCCGTGAATCATATGATTAAGTTTGCTACAATATTTGGGAACTTTTGAATAATTGGAATGGTTGAGATACTAACTTCTTCCAGCAAATTTCCTTTGACGAATCACTGAACTTCTTGTGGCATTGATTTCTCATACTATTTGCTTATCCATTCTCCATATGCAGGAGAAGATATGCAATCATACTTCTCCATTAAATGTGATTGGGATGTGTTGACACTTGACAAAAACACGAATAATCAATTTTATTAAGGGAAAACAGATGGATTGATGTCCATTTAGTATCTAATAATGATGTCTTAAACTTTCTTTCTTGCGCATGCTGTATTTGATTGGAAAATGTTTTGAGTCTGGAATTTTTGGTGGCAGGACATGGAGAGGCCAGTGGCAGGTCGAAGCAAAGCAGAAGCGAAAAAAAGAGTCGCAAAGCAATGCTGAAACTCGGAATGAAGCCAATCCCCGGTGTGAGCCGTGTCACAGTCAAGAAGAGCAAGAATGTTGGTTTCGTCAACCTCCCAGATTGACTTTCTAAATTGATTCATTCCATATACATCTGATAACTGTGGGAATTTTCTCTGCAGATCCTCTTTGTCATCTCGAAACCAGATGTTTTCAAGAGTCCTACTTCCGATACCTACATCATCTTCGGGGAAGCAAAGATCGAAGATTTGAGCTCCCAACTGCAGTCCCAGGCTGCAGAGCAGTTCAAGGCACCGAATTTGAGCAACTTGACATCAAAGCCCGAACCATCAGCGGTGGCTCAAGATGACGAAGAAGTCGACGAGACCGGGGTTGAGCCCAAGGATATCGAACTGGTGATGACTCAAGCTGGGGTATCAAGACCGAGGGCCGTGAAAGCCCTCAAAGCAGCCGATGGCGATATTGTGTCTGCTATAATGGAACTTACAAATTAGTAAGAGTTGCTATCAAGAGGATGTGTTTTTTTATATGGACTGTTGGAATCTTTTTTGCCTAATTTTCACATGTTTTCACCTGCAATTGGGAGTTGAGAGATTTGAATGTTCTGTAAACTTCCGTTATCTATTAGTTTTTATATTTACCCTGCCATGTTTATTAGCTACAATTTGCTATTTCTTTCCTGGGTTTCTCATTATTAACAATATAGATACTATTCGTCCATTTGAATATGAATATAATTCAACGGGCTATAATATTTATTTGAATATAACTCTATTTATCAAGAATCAAGAGTTAATGAGTTTGTACGTTATATTCAAGCATAGCTTTTAAGTTTGAATGCCTATGTTCGGGCATAGCTTATTAAGTTACTGTAGGCATTTTTTTTTGGCTAAAAAGTTGTAGTTTTGAATTTTCTAGTTAACATAGGAGACAATAATGCTATACATAATAGTTATTTATAAAAAATCTAATGCTTCAATTTTGCTTTTTTATGGGTTGTTATGCATCTAAATCATGGTTTTAAATATTCGACATTTCTATCTTACATATCTATGTTTTTATGGGTTCAACGTCGACAGTAAATCGATATTTTTATCGTACAAGAAAATCGAAAAATACAGAAAATATTAACATAATGTCATTAATACATATATAATATTAATAATAATTATTTTTAACTAGTCTAGAAATAGGAAAAAGTTTATTTGTTAATTTAAATATTTTTTAAAATTTTTTAATTTTTGTAATTTTTACAGAAATATCAACTGACATCCACATATCATCGATATTTCCATCGACATCGACATTTAAAACGTTGATCTAAATTCATCAAATATGAGATAAACTAAATTTATAATGAATCGCTTCAATTTTCATTCTCTTTATTGCTTGTTTGCATCTAAAGTTCATCTAGGAAAAGGATCAACTAAATTTATAACAAACCCAAGACTTAAATTTATAATTAAATTTATATCATCCCTTTTATCTTCTTTAATAAGCTTAAACCCTTCTCTAAGAATGAATGATGCTTCATTAGTTGAAAATAAGAATAGAATATATAAATTATTCACAAAAAACATAGCTTTCAAAAAAAATTGAAACATGGTGTCACTTCAATGTCGAAGAAAAGGAAGAAAAGGAAAAAGAAAATGTTAAGGAACGTTTTCAATTTTAGTTTCTATGACTTGTTTTGCATCTTTAGTCCTCAAAATTGGTCTAACAAACCCTTAAATAGAATTATAGTTTAGTCCTCAAAAATAAAAAAATAATAAAAAAATTTGTTTTCTTTTAATATAAAGAAATGATCAAATTTCAAAAATGTTTATTGTTGATGAGGGTTGGCTACTCACTTGAGGTGGACGTCCAATCATCTAATGATAACCAACAAACAAAATCTTGCACTGGTATGATGTTCGACCATGTACAATCTGAAGCTTAAGTTAGAACTTAATCTGAACTGGTGTTGAACAAAGATTTTATAGGGGAGCTTTAGGAAACGTTACCATGTCATGCCAGTGCTTTGTACCTGACATTCAGTAGATTTTACACCGATTACATTCGTGTTTATAGGTCGGTGTCGAACAAGGCTTTTATTAGGCTAGTCGAATGGCTGTGTCTGTCCCACCTCATCCTCAAGCATGCCCAAATTGAGACCCAGACACACGTTCTCAAGCGAGTGATCCAAGCGACAGACTTTGATTTCGCCCTAACGGTTATAAAAAGTATATAAAATGAAGTAAACTAAGCTTAAAAAAAAAAAGAAGGCATGAGTAGCGTTCACAAGTTTAAATGGGCTTAAAATGCTTAAGTTCCATTTCTTTTAAATATTATTCTAAGAAAATAAACAAAAATATTCATATTAATGTCTAAAATTAAGTAAATGCTAGTTGAACTAAGCAATGAAAGGTCACATATGGGAGAGCTGCCAAACTGTTTGATGTGACCAAGGATTCATACATACATTTCAAGGAAATAAACATCCAACAAAAATACTAAAATGAGTAAATAAATTACCATTTTAGTCCTTATAATTTTTAATTTAATTTTTATGGTTTTAAATCTTTTATTATTTTCTTCCTAATTTGATTAAAATCTCACAAAACATCCCAATAATTACAAGAGTCTTTAACTGTTTTGTATACGTCACTAATTTTTAGATGTGACAAAGGGAGGTGGTGAATTGAGAGTAAGAACGATAATTTAACATAAATTATCACTAGAAAAAGATATCGATGATATTAATTTGTGATTTTGGTCCCTTAAATTTACCCCTATTATTGATTTGGTCGGTAAAGTTTAAATTTTTCTAATTTAGTCTCTCAACTTTTTATAAATTTCAAATTCAGTGAGGATTACTTAAATCATTAATGAAAACAAGAAATGACCTCTTTTTTTTTTTTTACCTTCTTTGTTATGGCCTATGATTCTAAATGTTAAAAATTTTATTGCAAAATAATTCTTTTCATACTCAAACTTTGTTAGTTTATCTTTTAACTATGAAATATGTTTTAAATATTTTTTCAATTTCCATGCGAATGATATATCAAGTATACATGTCAATTTGACTAGAACAAATGACGTAATTTCTTTTAATTAATTTCTTCCATATTTCATTAATAAGGATCTAATTACGAGTAAAAATAAAATTAAAATTGGAGCTTGATTACTAATGAAGTTACAACTTTCTAGAGTAAAGTGATAATTTTACATCATTTAAATATTAAAAACAGACATTTTTTACTTTTTAGCTTTAGTTTATTTGATCTCCATACTTTCAAATTGTCCATCTTAATAGTTACGCTTTTAACTTTGTTACATTTTGATCGTTGTTTGAAAAATTTTGACACAAATTCTATACACAGCGAAAATCATTTAGTACAAATTTATAACAACATTTCAAAAAATGTATTGATTGAAATGCCATATTGTAATTGTGATTGAAAAAATGAGATAAAAAGGAATAAATCGAATGGACCAAAATGATCGCCCTTTTAAAACTACATATGGACCAATATGAACACTTAAAAAATATAGAGACTAAAATCAACGTGAGTCACAAGTATATAGATCAAAATAGACCTTTCGAAATTAAACCAAAATCGAAAGCAGAGAGATCAAAATAATATTTAATCGCATGGTTTTTCAAATATAGAAAGAAAAGGAGAAAACAATGGAGAATGGTACATGGTCCACTATTCCCTTGGCACAAACATGATAGAGATGGCATAAAAGACGAGAGAAGAGATGAAATTATTAGAGGCCATATGCTTTGAATCCCTTGAATTATTACAACCCCATATCTTCTCTTCACCTCTAATTTGGATTCTTTATAATGCCATTTTCTCATATTATTTCTCAATTTCATATTTCAAACTCAAAAAACAAATTACGAGGACCTATTTGGTATCATTTTTTAGGACAATCAAGGAAGATTGAGAAAATTCAGACTCATGGTCAAATAAGTGTCAAATACTGCTGTTCATTTTTTGGCATTTGCTATAAAAATTGAAACTAGGGTGAAAGAAATCTATATCGTTTGAATACTATTTTAATCTCTATACTAACTTTGGTTTGTTTTAGTCTCAGTAGTTTAAAAATATTTTTTTAGTTATTGTACTTTCAACTTTTGTTTATTTTAGTCTATATACTTTTAAACGCCTGTTTTGGTTCTTCTACTTTTCAAGAGTGACAGTTTAGATCCCTGTTTGCAAAATTTTAACACAAATTTTATACATAGCGAAAACCCTTTAGTATACATTTCAAAAAATTTATTAAGTATAGTGTACTGTTGAAAATGTGATACGAGATGTTTTGGAAGTAAAGAGGCAAAATAAACCAAAATGAAAGTATAGTGACCAAAAATAATATTTAAACGCAAATCTGAGCCTAACTCAACTAATTAAGACATCTATCTTCAATCAAACAAGTTGTAAATTCGAATACCCATCCTCACATGTTGAATTAAAAAAATAATAATAACCTTTTTTTAAAGAAAGTTAAATTACAAGTTTAGCTATTTGCATTTTCTAAAATTTTGTGTCAGAAACCTAGAGCTCTAAAAATGTCTAATAAGTTGTGTCTAATAGGACCTTTTAGACATTTTATAAAATTCACATATCTATTAAACACAAATTTAAAAGGCTAGTGTATTGTTAGACATAAAATTAAATTTTGTGTTTAATAGGTATGTAAAAGTTTTTAAAAAATGTCGAGTATTTTATTGACTTATTAAACACAAAATTAAAAATTTTAGATACTTTTTAAAATTTAAATACCTATTAAACACAGCCTCGAAAATTCAGAGTTCATACCTTAAAAATACAAAGGAAGAAAAATCCAAATTTCTGAAAAAAAAAATGTAAAACCATTAGAAAGTTTAATCTCTCTAATAGCAAAATTCTTCTTCTATGACAACTCACTCTATAGTATAAAAGAATTTAAAATACCATAAAAACTAAATTGGAAAAAATTTAGGAACTAAAGTAAACAAACAATTAAAAAATAATAACTTTAAATAATAAAAATAAAAAAATAGAAATAAAAAGTCACATCCATCCCTTGTCTGAACTCGTAGCCCAAGTTTGGGTTAACCCATCTCCTCTCTCTCTCTCTTCTCTGTTTTTGCAGTGCGAGAAATTGGGCGGATCCACTTTTCTCTTAAAGCTTAGGTAATTTCTGAAACTTATTTTCTAGGGTTCCCTTTTTCCTTCCTTTCTGCAATTCAATTCCCCAGTTTTAGCACTCAATACAGTCTTGCCTCTGCTTCATACGGTTTCCCTTTCTGAATTTTTGATTTAGACCCCTTTTTCTTCCTCTTTTTTCCCTTTTAAGTTGTGGGGTTTTACTTTTAGTTGTTTTTAGTCTTGGTAGTGTGGAGGTTTTGGGGAATTTGAGAGGAATTGGAGGTTTTTGGATCTTTTTTTGGGTCAGTTGATTTCTGTGGCTTATTTGGAATGAAAATGTTAAGTTGGGTTGTGACAGTTGTTGGTGGAAGTGTGGAATTTAGTTTCCACTTTAGTTTTTTTTTTCACTTTCTTTTTTTGGTTGAAAATTTTCATTTCTTGCTGTGAACTTGGTTCAATAAGTCTTTCAATTTTGTTATATTTAACTATAAGCTTCGGTGAAATTAATACCTTGAACGTGAATGAAAATATTAAGTTGATTTCTGTTACCTATTTGGAATGGAAATATTAAGTTAAGTTATGACTTTTGCAGCGGGAACTCTTTAAGTACTGTTATTGTTTCGTTCCTTTGCCTCGATGGTTTGCTTGATCTCCTGATTCTGTAATAAGATCTAAAACTCGAGATTGAAGTATTCATAGAAATGCATGACTTATCGTCCTATATATGTGTTAGTATATTTGTTGTCTTGTGTCATTGAACTTTGTTGAGAAGGTTTTTCATGTCCCAGTTCTATTGCTGCTATCTTTCTGTGGGGTGGATAAAACTTAAGGTCCCGTTTGATAATAATTTGATTTCGTTTCTAATTTCTGTTTTTAAAAATCACGCCTACTTCCTCTCAATTTCTTTGGTATGTTTCCCACCATTCTAACAAACACGTCTGAAATCTTTTTAATGCTTTTTCGTGTGGTATCTACTCAGTGAAGTTGATTTAGTCTTTGTATAAATTTCAAAAGTTAGACATTGGGCTGAGATAACATTTGGTGGTTGTGGAGTTACAGGGATAAGTTTGGGGTTGCTTCCACTTTTATATTTTAATAGAGAGCAGGAGAAGAGAGGATGTCGAGTGGGCGGAACACACATTGGTGTTATAGATGCAGAAGGTCGGTACATCTTCGTGGTCGAGATGCAGTTTGCCCCAACTGTAATGGAGGATTTATCCAAGAACTTGATGATATGGTGCCTAGCAACCCATTTGATTTCTTTGGACTGGATCATGATGAAGATCGCGGTCAAGGGCTGGGAGCATTCTCCGCTTTTATGAGACAACGGTTAGCAGAAAGAAACGACATGAGGGGAAGATCGGAGTCAGTTTTTGAGCGTAGCCCGGGATTCGGTCCTCTGCTAATATTTGGTGGTCAAATTCCATTGAGAAACAGCAGGTTAGAAGCCCTCTTTAGTGGGGCTCCTGGCATTGGTATTACACGGGGCGATAGCGGCGACTACTTCATAGGCCCTGGACTGGAGGAGCTATTCGAACAGCTCTCAGTAAATGGTAATCGTGGCCCTCCACCAGCATCTAGATCATCAATTGACGCAATGCCAACAGTTAAGATTACGCAACGACATCTTCGGTCAGACTCGCATTGTCCAGTTTGCAAAGACAAATTCGAACTCGGGTCTGAAGCTAGGCAGATGCCGTGTAATCACATGTACCACTCAGATTGTATCATTCCATGGTTGGTTCAGCACAACTCTTGCCCTGTTTGCCGCCAGGAACTGCCACCGCAGGGAATAGGTGGCGGAGGCGGGGGTGCGGGAGGGGGCCATAGCACCAACGGTCAAAACCGAAGTAGCAGCAGCTACAACAACAACAGCAATGGCTCCAGGGTTAATCCAGGAAGACGGAATCCATTTTCTTATCTGTGGCCATTTCGGTCATCTAACTCTAGGTCCAACCATAGCGGAGGCGGAGGCGGAGCCGGGAGCAGCGAACCGATGAACCACCAGATGGAGTATCCGGGATGGCAATTTACTAATTCACCATGAATCCAAGTTTGGAGATTGCTTGTAGTAAAAAAAATGGTTCAAGATTGTCTCTAAGACCTTGAAGAAGGTACACAGGCTGTTGTATATTTTTTTTGTGGAAATTTTTACCATGTAAATGACCTTATTGTAGCTGCTTATTGCTTCTGCTGTTGTTTCCTTCGTTTTCCAAGTTCAAGAAAAGATGACACATCAATTAGTGTAAAATGGGGAAAATATTTTACTGCCTCTTGTTGGAGTGCTTCGTTTTTTTGTTTGGTGGTATTGATTCGTGTCGAAACTTGGCCTCCAGACTGGTTTGGTTTGGTTCGATTCGATTTTGAAATGTATGGTTTATTATTAAAAAAAAGTGTAAGTATTATTTTCATTTTTGTATTTTGATTCAAAATTTAAAAAGGGGATCAATTGAAACCTCTTTAATATAAATTTATAACTACATTTTAAAAAATTGAATGAACTGAGTGACCCAATTTTTTAAGATTCTAATAATTTACTTCTAATGTACTGAAAATTCAAAATTCTCATTGAAGTCATTTTAAAGGGAAAAAAACCAGCACTAAAATTGGTAAATAAAAAGCGTTGGTAAATAAAAAGCGTGACAACATGTGTCTCTAAATGAATATATTCATTTTTGACATATTTAGATAAATGAACATGCAATTCAGATATGTCATCAATTTTTTTTTATTTATTATTTTTCGTTGATGTACGGGTTAGATATTGCTAGTAGGCAAGTTGAATTTATGTGTAAAGTAGTATCAGAAAGGTATGTTCACACATTCAAATAAGTTAATAAAAAAAACGATTTAATGACCCACAAAATTTTTTAACTGAGTATTTTATGGTAAAAATTAATTGAGAATTTTTAATACATGTTGGTGTCGAAATTCGATTAGCTGATGCGGTCGATTGACAATGTGTAGTAGTCTGTTTACTCGATTTCAAGGAGTTAAGAGGAGAGTAAGAGTACAATTTAAGATATTGTGTAGTTTTGAGAATGATTTGAATCCTCATTTTATAGAGGAGCGATTTGGGGGACGTACTTAAGGAAATCCAGACCATACTATTGGGTGGAGAGTTGTTAGTTAACTTTTAAGGAGTCTTCTACAAGCGAGATCGTACTCTTGTCGAATGTTAATAGATATCTCGCCCAATTCTACTTGAAAAAGTAGTCGAGCTGGATTGCCTCTCTTTGGGACATGTGGGGGCTTAGCCCACAACCCTTGTGGCGCTCGGAGATTTGCCCACGTGTGTTGTCGAAATTGAGCACGTAACCATGTATATTAAAGGTAAATGTGAGAAGTTTGAAAGAATAAGGGTCCACTATTTTATCTATTTTACTAATAAAATGATTCGAAGTAAAGATACTGAAATTACATAGCTGATCAAAGAGAAGTATTCCATTTATCTATTATTTGTTAGATTCAAATCTTATTTTGATCCTTAAAATAGATAATTTTCAATATTATTCTTATTGCTATTTTGTGGTTGATTGTTTGAAAACGGATAATATAACTTCAAATATGTGTACTATTGTATAAATATAAATTTAGTTTAATGGTAATTGACATTTTAAGAAATATTAAAAATAGGTTTAAAATTTAAGTTAAAATGTTAGTTTAGTCCCTATACTCTTGACTTTGATTCATTTTAGTTATTATATTTTGAAGTTGTTTATTTTGGTCTTGTACTTTCTCATTTGGTTCATTTTAGTCTTTAACTTTGAAAATGTTCATTTTGGTCATTGTACTTTTAAAAAGTGACCATTTTGGTCATTTCATTTTATTTTAAATCTTATTTTTTCTATCACAACTTCAACACCACCACATGATAATCAATATATTTTACGTAAAAGTATAGAGACTAAAATAGTATTTTAACATAAAATTTATTATACAGAATTGAAAGTTGAGAAATCTACTAGAAATTTATTAGACATAATTCTGGAAGTTTCCAGACTGAATTTGTAATTTATTCATACTTAATATAATTAATTTATTTTCTGAAAATTTTTGTTTTTGTTTGTTTGTACTCACTTCTCTGCTACTATCCATCCGGCCGGCTTCTCTTCTGCTGTGGACTCCGCCTCGTCCCCCTCCCCAAACCGTCTGCCGGCGATTCACCAACTCACTGAGTCATGGGCGGCGATCTACGGTTCGAGATCTCACAAAATGCCTACATAAAGCTGGTTCTTCATGCCCTAAAGCACCGGACCTCCGCCGTCAACGGAGTTCTCCTTGGTCGCATCTCCGGCCCTAATGATGTCGTCGAAATTGCTGATTCCGTCCCTCTATTCCACTCCAACATTGGCCTCCTCCCTCAGCTCGAGATTTCTCTCCTTCTGGTACTCGTTTTGAATGATTTTGCAGCGGAATTTTATGTTTAGGTTTCTGTAAACCGGTTGCTCAAGTGAGAAATTCATTGTATTTGATGCCATATTTGCTGCTTTTTCACTATCGTGTTTGAGATCTGTGATTTATGAGGTCGTGGTATGCTTGATTTGGAATCAGATAGAAGAATATTATGCGGCGGCCAAGGGATTGAACATCGTGGGATATTTTCATGCCAATGAGCGGTTTGATGACTATGAAGTCAGCGGTGTAGCCAAGAATATTGGTGATCATATTTCCAGATTTTTTCCACATGCTGCTCTTCTTTTGGTAAGAGATATCTTATTGTATTTTGACTGTGTTGTTTTATTGTATTTCTTTTGTTTGATTCAAGCTTCTCCGCAGTTAGATCACAGAAAACTTGAAGCTTTGCCAAAGAGAAAGGATAGGAGCCCTGTAATGGAGGTTAGTTTGTTTCTATAGAATTCCTGATCATGATTTTGTAAATTTTATTTGTGTCCTTCATCTGAATTTCGTCAATGAATTTCCACCATCTTTTCCTTTTTTTTTTTTTTTTGCTTTTGTTTCAATATCAGTAAAATCAACAATGTTATGTCGCAAAAACGAAATTTTTGAATATTGTTGGTTGATAATGATATGGCTCAATGTTCTCTCAGGCCAACTACTTTGTTCAGTTTTTGACGAACACTGGAACATCGTAAAGTAGCTTTGTTACATCATTGATAATTCATTTATTCATTGGGAGGCATTCTAATAGCTTTCCCAATTGCTGGAGTTGACAAAACATGAAAATGTCATTGAGAATGCGTTATTGCAACTCTATCCGAGTCTCTAGACAATCTCTCAGTTCTCTTCTGATGATCGGGAGTTGAATGTTAGATAGTGTTAGCTACTACTGATGTTATTTGTGATATAGGGAAATGAATGTTGGAGGTTGTTTCCTGACTTTCTGCACTGTTTATCATAAATTCCAGAGCCCTTTTTGGTGTACTTGAACTTTGGTTTGGCTTGCACTTATTCTGCTATAGAATGGATAAAGTATGTGGGGTTTCTTTTGGGGAGATGAGAGTTTGAGAGAGGCATACTGCAATAGAGGGCAATCTCCAATTTTCCTTTAGGTTCAGCTGCTCCAGCTTTTGATGTAGGATTGAGCATAAGATGTTCAACATGGAATTTGAGAATGGATCTAGGAGAAACATCATTAGAATTTTTGTGCCCCTCAGACCACTACAGTTTATGATTAGTTTTCTTTATTGAAGCAATGAATCTTAGGACCTATATTTTAGGAGGAAGCTCTCCGTGATGAGGAGGCAGTGAAGAGGATTTCTTCATCTCATGCTTTTTTGGGGCTTTTGATCCTCAAACCAATTATCAGAAAGTGGTTGCTTAAAGATATATGGGTTTTCTCTTGTAAATCTTGTTATGAGTTTTTGAGGCTAGATCCAAGTGTTGCACCGAATAAGGTGGACTTGATTTGAAAGTTTGAGATCTCGAAGAAGTTCATTGTGCAAATACCGATTGTTACATTGCAGTAAGGGAAGCCAATACATATCCATTCCATCTATATTGTGAAGCAGTTAGGGAAGACATGGATGTTCTAATTTTATTCATTTTCCTTTGCAAGACGTATTTAGGAGAAGTTATGGAGGAGTTTGATATGTCCATCAGTTTTTTCTCTCCCTCCGTACATGTTTAATTTTTTAGGTCAGAGTTAATTGGAGGAGGTAACAATTATATGGTGCTTTCAAAGAGAACCCAAGATTCTTCAAAGAGAATTAATCCCATCTCGAGGATTTTTGGGACTATCAAACTCTTTGTTTCGATTTGGTGATCTCTTTCTAAACTCTTTTGTAATTATGAACTTGTACATATCTTGACTAATTGAGCCTCTTTTTTGTACTCATTTCCCCTCTTTTTTGTATGCTTTTTGTTTCATAAATATAGTCCTCAATTTCTTATAAAAAAAGGAAATTATTAAGAAAAAACAATTATATGTTGCCTTACCAGTCAAAAGTATAAATTTTTAGTTTAACTCCAAACATTGTACTTAACCATGATCGTGGTTTGGTCGAGTAGTCATTAAGGACCAATGTAAATAGTAAAAAGCTTAATAGAGGAAATGAGTTCCTACGAGTTATTTGACAACCAAATGTAGTAGGGTAGGCAGTTGTCTTGTGACAATAGTCGAGGTACACGCAAGCTGATATAAGGAAAGAAAAAAACTCCAAACCATTATAAAGTAGATGCTAGGTGTTGTTGACAGTGAGAATATACTTACTCTTGGATTTTGAATGTTTTGCTTGCTAACATTTTTCCATTTGCTTTTCTATCACCCAAGCATCACTATTTACGCTATCTAATATTAGACTTGAGGTCTAAAATTGCTAAGTTTTGTTGTATGACGCTTCTTCAGGATTTAGATATTATAAAGATGTGATTGCATTTTTACAAATGATTGTAATTTCTGATGAACAATATCTCATTATCTTAGCTGTTTTACGCTGCCACTCTATGCCAATTTCCACGTGACTTGCAGTCATGTAATTTAGGAATCCTTTTAAACCGTAGGCCTATTCTATATTGCTAGTTTCACCCTGAAACATAGTAGACCTAAGCACGAGGAAACGGTTGCATAATGCTCGTCTTATTCCGTTTTGTTCGTTTTCTCACCAACCAGCTATACACGAGGGAAACTGCCAAGAATTGGAAGCTGGTTGGATCGGATGGAAGCAGCCAGCTAACGATCAAGGAACCGTCAGCAAATGTGGTTCTCTTGGATTTCATATCGTCCGAAAAATGGCAAGCTGTGATGGACTTTGACGATCACCTCGACGACATTAGCAAGTACAACGCTCAATATCACCTATCTTCTTTTAGCAATTTGCACCAATCTTGATCGAGTAAAAAGTTAACCTTTCTCTTTTACATTTTGAAAATTTGCAGGGATTGGTTGAACCCGGAACTCTTCAAGTAAATCTTTTGCCAGAATTGTAAGGCTTGATTGCTCTTAGAAGGATTAGTTGGATACTAGGCCTTGTGCTTTTTATGGTTTGAGAATATTGTTAGATCTACTGTTAATTTATTAATCGTCGAATTTTATTTTGTTAGACCTCGATTACTCGCCTTTGATTCGAGATACCGAGTAGAAGTTTGTGGCTTTGGAATTGAAAAGTGAAGCCTTAATTTTCATTGTTTTAATTCAGGGGTGGATATTTAAGGAGTTGTTTGAATGTGTACATTAGCATGATTTGAAATTCTTTAGTTGAGAAGTCGCTTTGTTTGAGAACGATTTCGTTTTTTTTTTTTTTATAATAATTGTACTTGGTTCTCGTATTATCTATTAGCATTGAGATTAATGAATTAAAGGACGTAAACTGTGTTTTAGCTAAAATTAAAATATAAATGTGCGTTTAACTGCAATTTTTGAAAAAGGTAGTTGAAACTAATCCAAATGGAAGTATAAAAATGAAAGATATAATTTGATGGTTTAAATAAATAATTTTTTTTTTTTGGAGAATGTTATTCCTTTTAAAATCTTATGAAATACATGTTCGTTCTCTCTTATTCCTGATATTGTACTAACTTTTAGTTAGATTCTCTTCTAATATAATTTTAACAACAATATTAGGCAATATTATATATTTTTTTAGTACAATATATGGTGGTGGGAATTTGAATTCACGTCATCCCGTGAACTAAAAGTGATGTGATTAATCACTTTCATGAACGGTTGATTGAGAATATTTGAATAATATGATTGTAAAGATATTGTTTTATTTAAATCAAATATTCTGGTCTATGGGAAAATGAAAATGAAAATAAAAAGAAAGGAAGAAATTCACTTTTTACTCCCAGTGAAATCAATACCTTCAATTAATCAATTTACTATATATCTTTTCTGATTAAATTACCCAAAAAAAAGTCCTTTCAATACTGCCTCAACCTTCTATAAGGTTTAAAAAAAAAAGTTTTTGAACAAATATTATAAAAAGTTGACATGACAATTGACGTGAAAATTTCTTGGATTAAACTTGAAAAGAGAAAAAAATTAGTAAACAATGAAGAAATAAACTCTCGTGACAACGGAGGAGGAAGACAACTTCTATGGCAAAATTGAGACGTTTCAGATTTTGTCATATTAATTTTTTATTAAAAAACCTATGTTTGGTCGAAGTATATTTTTGAAAGCTATGAAAAGTTAATAGTATCTTTGAAATAATAGCAATATTTTTTAAACAAAGGGGTAAAGTTTAACGGTATTTTTTTTGCAATTTAGCATTTTTTCTCTAAAAATTATCTCTGAATATTAACCGTGCTTGAATATCTTACTGGCTTTTGTAGTTGCTTGACTTTGTGGTTAGTATTTTCATAGTTTAAGTAAAAGTTTTATTCATTTATATGGTTTATTTATTTGTCATTTGTAATTTTTTTGTAATTAAAGTATTAATTATATTCTCATTCGAGTATTATTTTTTTTATCAGTTCCTTCTCTTGATACCAGAAATTTAAATTCAATCCTATATTTGTTGTATTAAAAAATTGAAGAAAAAAAGTTATATTACTTATTCAAACGGACAAAATTAAAATGTTAAATTTACATGTAAAATTAAAAAGTTACTTTTTATCAAAAAAAAAAAAAAAGAAAAAGAAAATTGATATATAGAGCTTATCCAAAGGAAATGAGGGGCTCACTGACCAGAGAAACACCCATGGCTTTTCTTCTCTGCTCCAATCCTCTCTCCACCTCTCTCTATTCCTCTCCATTTTCGCCGTCGCCGTCGCCGTCGCCGTCATGCTTTCCGACGACTTCCGCCGCCCCGAGTAAGCCTCCTCTTCCTCTTCCCCTCCCGGATTCTACTTTCCATCTTCTTGTTCAATGGGATCCAACGAATGTTTTTTCTAATTCTGTATCTTCATTTCTCTTTGTGCTGCGTATTAATGCCAATGGAGAGTTTTCCCTTTTCACGAACTCGAGGGATTCTTTAAATGTGCTTGAAAGTATTTCCTTCGCAGTCATTTGTTTGTGGGGCATTTTGTCAAACAGTTGGTATCTGTGTATATATAGACTCTCAATTTAACATTTCTCAGTTGCTGTGCTCTGGATTTCGCTTGCTTGAATGTTTTTTTGTACTTTTTTTTCCATAATCGTCTTGTGTTGTAAATTCCGAGTTGCTAATTTCTTGTTCATCATTCTCAATTTGATCTATGGATTACAGTTCCACAAGTGTCATGAAATACAGTTGAAAACTGAAGGGGCTAGGCTTGAGTACATTTATTTTTTCTACATCTTCATAACATTTCCCCTAAGCTCAAATGTTAATTTGATTCATATTGCAAGTAAAGTGGTTTAAGTTGATAAGTTGGAGAATATTTAATCTTTTATGCATATGATTGATAGGCTTTTAGTTTTAGTGATTCTCTCATTCCTTTTAATGTAGCTCACGCTCACGCTCAATCTCAATATTCTTTTTTTTGGTTTTCAATTTCAGGTTCTATTTTGCTTATGAGGCCTGTTGGTTTTCAGCCAAAAATTTTTAATGGAGTTCGACTTCGAAATGTCTCTTTTGTTGAAAATACGGCGTCATTGATTGTCAAAGCTACGTCTGAGATTGATGGTACGGGAGAGACTGACAGTAATGAACCGCAGCCCCCTGCAGAAGCTAAAAAAGAGGATGTTCCAGTTGACAAACTTCCCTTAGAATCAAAGCTCCAGGAGAGACTGGAGCAGAAGACGAGGATGAAATTAGCAAAAAAGATTAGGCTGCGGAGGAAGCGGCTTGTTCGGAAGCGCCATTTGAGGAAGAAGGGACGATGGCCTCCTTCAAAGATGAAGAAGTTGAAGAATGTTTGATGATCTTTAGCTTCAGTTCTTGCAGGTTTAGAGGTGACCCATCTTCTCCTTATTGCTTCCAATTTATTCTGTCTAATTTCTTTATACTTCCATGAAAATTTACTTGCTTCTTTATATATCTGAAAGAATTCAGTGACTTATGAAATGTGCAATCTGTGCGTGGATTTGAATGATAAGCTGTACAGTTCAACAAACTGAATACTTGATTCAGATCTTTATCAGTTGATCCACTGATCTCTTGAAAGTTGAAACATTCATCTCTCATCATACATTGCTCGCTTAAAAAACCCTGCTCAGACGAAAATTCTTAGGAGATTAGACCAGTGGAAATTGGGTCACAAGAGAATTTTTTTTCCTTTTAATAGGATTAAAATATGTATTCTTGTCTCTCATTTCTATTTTGAATAAGCTGGAGGGCCACATCCAGATCAATGTCCCACAGAGGGACGAGTTTGAGCTTGATGTGTCTGTCTCGATGTGTGATCGACTGGTCGAACAGAAATGAAAGTTGGGAGTAGTAAAACAAAGAGTTGTTATGGCTTTTGATGCAGAAGAAGATTTTGAAAGTTGGGAGTAGTAAAACAAAGAGTTGTTATGGCTTTTGATGCAGAAGAAGATTTTGAAAGTTGGGAGTAGTAAACAAAGAGTTGCTCTGGCTTTTGATGCAGAAAAAGATTTTGTTTTGTTCCTTTTAATAGGATTAAAAGATTGTCTCTAATATTTTGTAAAATAAGCTGAGGGGGCACAAGATCAATGCCCGCCGAGGGATGTGTTTGAGCCCGATGTGTGACCGACTAGTCGAATAGAGATGAAAGCTGGGAGTAATCAAAGAGTTGTTTTGGCGTTTGATGCAGATGGACTAGTGAGTGTATTTTGTTTTCTGCATTCTTGATTCTCCATAGGGAAGGAAGTATATGCTTTTACATGCTTTGTAGCAAATTAGAATGCCATATGCATAAAAGCCAACGCAATAACGAGTTTAACAGTCTTAAGTGGTTTCAATGAGACGACACACCAAAAGCCTCGTATGCGGAGTAGCAGTAGGTCTTCTCAAAGAGAGCCTTGTCGTCGTAACCGAAATCATAATCGCTGGCAACAATGGACATTGCCTTGTTAGCCCAAGAATTAGGCAAATAAGAATCAAAATTTGAACTGAAGTCGAATTAGTCATTAGAATTGTCATGATAGACACAACTTTCACCTTGGCGCTGCAACGACAAACTTTTATAAAAGAGAAAAGTGGTTTACCAACCTCTTTCAAAGCCTTCATCTATAGTCTTACATCCCGTTTGACAATCATTTTGTTTTTAGCTTTCAAACATGGTTGGATAATCATTTTGTTTTTAGTTTTCTATTTTTATAAAATATGTTTATTTTTTATAATTTCATTATCATTGATAAGTTTTTCACATCTCTTGAAAATATATTTGAATTTTTAGCAAATTTAAAAAAACAAAAGTAAGTTTTTGATTTTTTCTTTTAATTTAGCCTTGAAAATGTTTAAAAAATATATATATATATATAAATAAACACATATGTAAAAGTAATAATTCTAAGCTTAGTTATCAAACAAAACCTTAGTTTCTTATTTTTAGTATTTAGAGCTGGTTGCATTTCTGGTGTTGATAAGCTCTCTGAACTTGACTTTTGGAAAGATGCATATTGTTTTTAGCTAATTAAAAGAACTTTCAAAATTTTAAAAAATTTCATTAGTTACTTTTGAAAATTCTAAAAATACTTAAAATATTTTAGTTAGTGCTTCTCTCCATTTAAGTATTTATAGAAAAAATATTCACTCAAAGACACTACTTTACTTTTAAACATTATTCAATCAGTCATATTCTTTTTTATTGTAAAGAAAAATTAAGACGTTTTTTGGTTTTTAAAACGAGGCTAAAAGTTGGGTGTTGTTAGAAAGATCGAAGACGAATAAAGAAATGATTAGCAAACGAGTTTAATCTTATTTTAATATTCGTGAGTGTTCGGGTCAGTTTGTGCGTACCTCGACATATTTGGTGTCGAGAAACATATAAGAATTACTAATTCTTAAGGTAGGTGTAGCTCTTTTGGACCATTGAGCCACCCATGGGCCTAATGGTTGTTGAATAAATTTAATTTGTATTTGAATTAGAAATGCGAGAGTCTTGTTTCTTTGAAATTAGTTCGAAGAATAACATTCCTCTGTCACCAATCAGAATGAGCAGTCCTCGGCACCAATCAGATTGCAATTAGACAAATGGGAAAACAAAAAAACAATTGTTTCGATTGGATTTATATGTTTAAAAGGATGAAATAGATTGAACTAAATTAAGAAGGTTAAAATTAGAATACCAACATGAATTTAACTTGATAGTAAATGATATCTACTCTGTCTTTTGAGGTTGGAAGCTTAAATTTATAGACTCTACTGTGATGCTCGAGTAGGGAGGAGAATATGAATGAACCGATACCACATCCGAAATGAGTGGAAAAATCTTCGGTTGGGTGACCTCCTAATTGCTTAAACTAGACGGAGGCGCGACCGGATCGCAGGAAAATATCGGGGCGATTAAGGCCAAATCCGGATTCCGAATTTTGAGCTGGGGCGTTACGGAATAAAAATAAAAGATAAACGACTGAAATTCAAGCTCTTAAAAACATATATAAAAAAAATACAAAACTGAAGTAATAAACCTCATGAGGACTTGGGAGCATTCCCTTTTTTATTTGCCTAGAAAGAAACTCCTTGTTACAAGTTTATTACATGAAAATGTTAACTAGTCGGGATTTATAGTCGGCGCGACTCGTTCTAAAACTAGCACGTATTTTGGGATGGATCGTATCACTCAATAGTGGTACTAAAAGAAATTAATAATAAAGAATGTCTCTTTCATTTATATGATTATGTTGTTGAATTAAGATATTGGAAATTTTATTGTGGTTAAGATGTTGATTCTTTTTCTATTCTTATGTTTTAATAAATGAAATCCCAACACCCTCTTGAAAAAAAAAAAAAAGTCTAGTTTGACATGTTGTCTACTTCAATGGATGAAAACACATTTGGATTCTTGGAGTATAAAGATTTTTTTTTTTTTTAATTCTACATTTTTTTAGTTTCAAATTTATAATAAAATTTAGAATTATTTTTAAAAAATAAATAACAAAACAATCAAGAGTTGGAACTATGAATTTGGTCAAACATTAAAGATGGACCAAAACATAGATTTAGCATATATAGAATAAACTAAACATGAAGATTCAACTATGAATTTGGTCTAAATTTGAATTAAACCACTCCCACTAAGAAAGTTCTTGTGGTTTTAATCAATCTTTACTTGATTAGTCAACCAAGTCCACTAAAATTTGTTGGAGTATAGAAAATAGATGTAAGCTAATTGACTTTGATTGCAATGTAATTGATAACAGATATGTAAAAATCTTGATAAAGTAGATGAAATGAACTCATTAACTTTGTAAATAAACACTAATTTGAAGAACTATAATAGGAAAAGAGAAACTTAGCAATAAAAACAAAAGAGAAATATTTTATTGACTATATCTATATTATTACTTATTTAGAGAAAGAAAAATTGGATTTATTTGGTGAATATAGGTAAAATGATTTATTGATATTGGATTTGATCAGTGGAATGAATTGTTTCATCATAAGACCAATCCTAATTAAATTGCTATGAGTGCATTTATTTAGAGATGCTGATGCAGAATTCTGACTTCATATCTGGGAGACGTTCCAAATGCTCAAGTCAGCTATAGCCTGAAGTATTCACTCGAGCAATCAGAATTTCATACGTGCGTAGAGAACGAATCTCAGAGTAGCTTAGTGGGTCCCACTCGCCTGTCGCTTTCCACGATTGCAAAAATTTCGACGCAAGATTTGAAACACGGTTAGTGGGTGGTTACAAACGGTTTTATGATGCAGCTTTAAGGCCAAGATATTCTGTGGCTCGAGCTATAAATTAATGTTGAGGTATTGCTCCTTAAAGAATGGGTCTACGTTTCACGTCGTTTTTCATCACATGACACATGAGTCTCTCAATCTCATTACTTACGTTTGTTGAGATGATTCATGATTTATGAGTCTTCCACTAATTTGAGAATAGAATCGTTAATTTTAAGAAAACGAGATTCTCTTTTAAAATCAGAAGATAAAGAATCTCATTCTCTCGTCCCTAAATGTGTAGACCCATTTTTTGGCCCATTATTTTTATCTCTATTTCTCGTGCGAGTCACATATTTAAATTCGAATTCAATTCGAATATCATTAAAGTGTTAGTAAACAAAATCAATAATACACATTTTTATTCCAAAATAGTTTTAGCAAATGCAATACTAACAAATTTATATTCCAATTAATTTCATTCTCATTTAGGGAGAACGAACATCGTTGTAATCGGTCTAAGGATTTTTATTTTTGTATCATTTATTGGTTGGTTCATAGACAAATTACAAATTTAACTTTGAATAAGTACTAGTTTCGAATTTAGATCTATGAAATTAAAGGTTTAAGGTAAAATTGATTCACCAAGTAAAAAATTTCAAGGTTCATATTCCTATTGAGTTAACGAGACTTAGAATAATTTAATGATATTAACTTATAATTTTGGTCACTACACGTTAAGAGTTGTGTCTAATGTTTAATAAGTTAAATTTTAAAAAGATGTGTAACTGATTTTTAAACTTTCAAGTTTGTGTTTAACATATTACCGATACTATTTAGAAATTCTATAACTTAATTAGAAATCTTCTAAAGTTCGAGAACTTAACATGTATAACATTAAAAGTTAAAAATTTATTCCACCAAATTTCTTAATAACTTAAAAATTGATTTTCATTCCGATTTCTTATCATTCTATTCTCAATAAGTAAACTTATCATTTTATTCTCAAGAAGTAAACCGAAGAAAGTTCAGTAACCATACTTGTAAATTAATATTTAACAAAATACATTGGACAATCCATTAATAAATGATTACACGTCAGCTTCAATTAAATTATTAAATCCCCCATTATCCATTATCCAAACACAGCGCTAAATTTCGTATCCACTAGAGATTAGAGAAAAGCGGCGTCGTTTCGAGTCCCCTTCGAAACGCTGCCTATAGAATACGACTCCTCCGCCATTCGAATTCTCACTCCCACTCCTCGCTTTTCTCGCCGGCGCCGTCCGCTCCCTTCTCCGATTACTCCGTTGGTTCTCCGGCCGATTTCTCTCTCTCCTGTCGTCGGC